AGTAACTAGAATTTAATGTAAAGTTAGTCTTTTTTTTCTTTTTTTGATAAGTAAGAATATATTATTAAGCGTTCAACAGGGAACGCATCCCAAAAGCTACACAAAGGCCGAAGCCAAAAGAAAGAGGTCCTAAGGACTCAAGGAACCCAAAAAATCAACAATCTCCTCTAAAAGATTTACAATTTCTCCCCAACCCCCAACTAAAAGGAGAACTAATAACATGAAATTTCAAAGCCCCAATGGAAGTTAGTCTTGAAGTAACTCAATTGAAAGCTTAACTCTTGACCTTAGGACCATAGGACCTTGCATATCATTCATATCACTTGAATGTCCCTACAACATAAGCAATTGGCCTTGAACCTCATTCATATCATCAAGAGGCCTTTGCTGAGGTTGAGTTAGTTCAAGCTTTATAACCCTTGGAACAACCCAGCGATTGAGAAACATGAACCAGGACCATGTGCCTAATTCATATTATTTGGGTTGGTCTCTAAGTTTAATACGAGGCTTTGAACTTAAGTGTTTCAATCTTGAAAAGCTTCAAGTGATACTGAGACGATCTCCAAATTGGAATATCTTTAATACTCATGTTCACAAGTAGTAGAGTCAAGGATCTTGGATTAAATTGATTCATAAACATGATAATGGTCTCGAGACTGGAAAGGATTAGGACTCTAACTTATCATATAAATCCTTAAAAGTCCTAAAGAAAGTTGGAATGTAATTGTGCCTTTACTGAACTCAAGATGGAGTATATCATATTGTATTATTTATCAAAGAAGAGTATCATATTATATCCGGCCAATTCAATCAGCTGCTCAAGTGAGTTTAAATCAACTCATACATTTGAGTGGCATCTCTTGCTAGAGCTTTAAACATCAGTCTGCTTATGTGAATTTAAGTTGACTCATACATTCTAGTGGCATCTCTTGCTAGAGTTTTAAACATCAGTCAACATTTGACATTATGTTGGTGACCCATACAAAGTAGAGATTTGCCAAAGGCTAACTCGTGAAGTCAGCTAACTAATTCTCTTGGATTAGTTACTAATCAAAAAAAAAAAACTCTTGGATTAGTTGACTGAAACTGTCTAGTGAGTTTAAACACACACAAAGGATAATTGCGACAGTCGACTTATCTACTTAAATCAACAAATTGTTCTAGCCAAACAAGTCAACTACTCTATGGGCAAAGTTGACAGTTCGATACAGAATTCAGATTCTAACAGCTAGTTCAACAATCCCAAAGCATACCATTTGTGCCTAACAGCTATATCTTTTTCAATTTTTTTTTGACAAGTAAGATTTCATAAAGGCGCTCAAGAGGGGAGCGCTCACAGGAGAATACACAAAACGCCAAAGGGCAATGAAGAAGAAGGTGATCCACTGTTTCCTCCGACTTCTTACATGTACAACACCAGTTGACCACAATTTGCCTTCTCTTCTAAGGTTGTCAAGGGTGATGATGCTACCGAGGGCAGCACACCAAGCAAAGAAAGCCACCTTCAAAGGAGCTTTCGAACTCCAAATCGCCTTCCAAGGGAAAGGACCCGGGGTCACCGTCAAGCTGTGGTAGAAATCCCTAACCTCAAAGACCCCTCTTGGCTCGCCCACCCACACCATCTCATCCATCCCCACACCCTCCACCGACTGTAGAGCAAGGCTAAAAAATCAGCAACCTCCATAAGCTACCAATCATGGAACTCTCTACAGAACTGCACGTCCTAAGTCAACCTCTCGTTATCGAGACGAAAACAATCGGAAACCGGGGCATGAGAATGTGAGGAGATCTTGAAGAGCCGTGGGAATCTACGAGCTAGCACAAAATCCCCACACCAACGGTCCTCCCAAAACCTGACGTGACTCCCGCTCCGAACCTTGAATCGGATACGTTTAGAAAACTCATCCCACATCTTTGAATGGGGCTATAAATGCACCTTGAGATGATATTCTTAGGTGAGCAACACCAAGAGAGGGCTTGAAATTGAGAAAAGTGTGAAGAATCACTCTCACACACTTATATACATCACACGAGTGTAAGAACAATATATTTGTATATCTATGTTCATATTCTACTATGGAGCACACATTTCTTCATCTACCATTTGTAGAAGCTACCGTGGAGCTTTTAACTTGAGTATCTTTCATGAGTAGCACCACTAATGAGCTTTACCACTCCTATCTATCATAGGTTTTCAAATCCTAGAGATGAGCTTTCAACTTGAATATTTTATGTATTAATTCTAGGTATATGGACTGAAATTGTACAAATATATCTATAGAGAGATATTTCTTTGTACACACAATTCACTCTCATCCTTTAGGTGAGAGGGCAGAGGTATGCTCTCGACCTTCATGTGAGAGAAACTCTCAACCTTCGAGTGAGAGGATAGAGGCTTATTCTTGGCCTATATGTGAGAGGGTTGTGGTTTCCTCTTGACCTGAAACAAAGAGGGGGTTACTTTTGAGTCCGTAAAAGAGAGAGTTCCCAATGATCTCGCAAAAGTGATGCAGTTTTACTCTTCGCCTGCAATGAAGAGCACCAATGAGAATTGGAATGAAATCCTCAAGTGGCCTGCTTGAGGTGAGAATGTAGGAGGTTTGCCAAACCTCGTTAAAAATCCCTATGTCAACTTTTCTATCCCTCAACTCCTTTACTTAATGTCCACTCATGTTAATTTATTTTGAATGCATGAATGTATGATAGTTAAGGTTAGATGAGCTTAGACGCATGCTTAGTTTATATATTTAATTTACATGCATGTTAGGATAAATATATGCTAGGCTATAAAAGTAGCATTACCATGTTTGTTCAATTGAGCTCAAGTGCTTGCTGATATCAGTATATCTAGTATATATATGTGTGTGTGGATTACAGATGCAAGTATGTTTAGTACTATGCCTTACATTATATATGTATGTGGTGTGTTTGCATCATAGGCAGCATTTCATCACAACCATCACACTTCACTAATCAAGCCACAAACTATAAACAAGAAACTAATTCAACGAAGAGGTAGAAACCAAACCAAGTTAGCATTACCATGTTTGTTCAATTGAGCTCAAGTGCTTGCTGATATTAGTATATCTAGTGTATGTGTGTGTGTGTGTTTAGATTACATATGCAAGTATGTTTAGTACTATTCCTTAGATTATATATGTGTGTGGTGTGTTTGCATCATAGGCAGCATTTCATCACAACCATCACACCTCACTAATCAAGCCACAAACTATAAACAAAAAACTAATTCAAGGAAGAGGTAGAAACCAAACCAAGTTAAATAATCTAGAACCAACTTGAGCCTTAACATCCATCCTTCATACCAAGCCAAACAACCAACCATCCTAGTTAGCCAGGACCATCCTTAGGAGTTCACCTCTAGACTGCCAATTAGGTTCATAAGATCAACCTAGACTCCAACCTTATAAGTTCAGTCTTAGATGTTCACTTAGGTTCCATCAACCATAGAACTCTAACTTTAGGATCCTTAGATAATTCTGCATAAAGACCCAATTCACCCCCACTCTTTGGGTCAATACCTGGGCAACATGTACTCGTCAAGTATAAATTAACGGAGAACCGACAGTGTGTCATGAAACTGAGGATGTACAATATGAACAATAAAGATGGAAGAATGCTGTTTTTAGCATTCCTGCAAAAATTGTTGAAGAGAGAGTCGGAGATGAAGCAGAGTTTCTAAAGCTAAATTCATCATGATCGTCTTCTTCTCGTTCTTCCTCCCCTCTGTCTTCTTTGTCATCGAATTGCCTTTTATCTTTTTAACTTAGCTTTTATATGTCATTAGAAAAATTATTAGTAATTAGAAGTGTACTTTTCACATGCTTAGTCAGAGTTTATCCATCAAATGCACTCGAAGTGTAATTTTTTTTTTTTTGATAAGTAAATGCACTCAAAGTGTAATTAACTAACAAAATTAGCTACCATAACTCAATTTTATAATCCAATCAGACCGCAACGATGACAACTAGTCTTGGAAGTTCTGCTACACGAATATGATCAGAACCAAGTGCATAATGGCAAAGTCATTTATGTGGTTGCGTGTCAAGCAGAAAAATCACAGCAAAGGGTCTGAGGAAAATTTGACAACTTTCTGTTTGGTCAATTTACGGGACAGAAGTATGCCAAATAAAGAAAACAAGCTTCCTCCTAACTAACCCCTTCAATAGTTTCGATAAAAATGGAGACACAGCAGTGGCATTCAGCCTAGCTCAATCTAGCATTAACCAGCTAATGGAAAGGAAAAATTGAGAGTACCGTCACCCTAATTGAAGAAGCCCAAGAAAGAAGAATTATGACTCATCCTTATGTATAGTTGAAAGATCAGATTAAGTATTGTTGATGCTGATTTTCTAAACTGCTTTAGTTTAGATTGAGAATTTTGACCATAATTTCTCTCAAACTTCAGTTGCAGGAGTTCGGATTTTTGGAATCTAAGAAGTTTGGAGTTTGGACACGTGTGTTATGACCATGGGAATCGGCCAACAAGAGTGAACTATGTGATGAACTATTATGAACACCTTTTACTCTTTTAGTATATGACAGGAATACAATGCAAAGACAAAAATATAGCCAGAGTACTACATAAAATGCAATATTTTCCAGGCTTCGTAAAAGATATAGAAAATTTATCATCCTCCTTGCCTTAATCTCATATAAATGGGGTCAGCCACACGAATTCTCTTTTTCCATTCTATTCCATTACAAGCCATCTCTCTAACAAAATGTTGCATGTTTATATCTTACCCATGTCTTCCTTTTCAAGGATATGCCTCGCCTATGCTACTTATTATTTGTGTTAGGGTTCCAAGAGTATTGAGTGTTAGTGCAATCAGTGTTTCTTTGCAAACATCAGTGAGTACTTTCATGCAACATTTGTAGAATATAAGATTCAGCAAGTAGCCAGAAGTGACTTACTAAAACTATAATACATGAAAAAAAAATAAAAAATAAACATTTTAGGCAAATCAATAATCACGCACCTGATCACTGCTGCTGCTGTTGCTGATGGTTTGGCGGAGGCTGCATACCCGGACGAGGCGGGCCAAAAACAGGAACACCACCACCACCAGGGGGAGGTGGCATACCCGGACGAGGTGGTGGGCCAGGCATTCCTGGACGCTGCGGAGGCGGCGGTCCTCTCATCATCTGCGGAGGCGGAACCATCGGCCGCTGTCCAAACTGAGGTGGCATTTGGAACTGTCCAGGCGGACCAGTACCCGGTCTCGGAGCAAACTGAGGTGGACCTCGCATCATCGGTGGAGGCCCCGGCTGGCCCGGATACGCCTGCACCTGCCCAGGTGGCCGAATCACCGGTGGTGGGGCATTCTGGTACGTCATTGGCGGAGCAGAGAGCTGGGGCATAGGCGGGCGCGAGATTTGGGGCTGCATCATGCCCGGTGCAGGGCCACCAACACCGCGAACCGGTCCCGAGAGACCGGGCTGGGCCTGGACAAGCGGCGCAGTAGGGATTCCACGGCCAGCGGGACGGGCAACGCCAGGACCACCGGTGGCAGCAACGGCCTTGGCACGAGAGTCGTCGGGAGGGGGAGGGCCCTCGACGGTCATTGAAATGACCTCTTCGCCCCTGAGGAGGACGAGGCCTAGGGTTCGGCGGTCCAGTCGATCTTCGTTGCTCTTGTTGCTCCCCTTGGTTGGGGGTAGTTTGCGGAACTCTTCGCAGTCACCTAGGACGAGATTCATGTGGCGATCGAAGGCCATGAACTTGCCGACGAGTTGGCGATCGTCCTGGATTGTGACTCGCATGCGGTAGTTGATGTGCTGAAGCATCTTAGAGCTCTTCGACATCGACATTTTGACGGATGGTTCTTTGAAATTTGGGTTTTGGGGGGTCTGTTGGAGAAGAAGTAGTAGACGGAAGAGTGGAGGAAAGAGAAGGAAAAAGAGTACTAGGGTTTTGCTGAGAAGAGTTCTGTGACAACGTTGGAGCGAGGAGGGATGGAGAGAATAGAAGGAGGGAAAATAAATTAAAACAATTATTAATTCTTAAAAGAAAATAATGATATGTGATAGTCTTTTTATTAGTAGTATTTTTTTAAACAGTGGTGGAAAGAAAATACTTAAATATTTCATTTTTATTTTTTTTTCACCGGAAAGTATTATTTTAATTTTTTGAATAATAAGGATAAATGGGGAATTCCCTTTTTGTGTTATAATTCTTTTTCTTCCAAAAAGTTAAACAAGTGTACATATTTATATTTATATTTATACTATTATTAAAACAAAAACAAAAATTTGTATCAAATAAAGTAATTGTCTTTAACTAGGGTACATGTAGTAATAAATTATTTTTTTACAATTTATTATTAATTATTTTTTCATGTGTTTTTTGGTAATAGCATGGCATAGAATTCTTGTTTGGATTCCATTTATAAAAACAGTTCTCAGTAACAGTTTCTAGATAATCAGAACAGAAAATAGTTTTCAGTTATTTCAGATTTTAAACCTGCTTGGTTAAGAAAATTTACAAAATAGTTTTCGAAAAACAAAAACTCATAAAAACTATTTGGTTGTATTTATTAAAAATAGTTTTGTGAACTAATAAAATAAATATAAATATTATTGTACCTCACTTTTTTATTTATTTAATTTATGATATTAACTATTAATGTAATTTAAAAAATAAAAAATAATAAGTGTTGGAGGTGAATTCATTTTAATTAGTATTCTTAACTTAATAAAAGTTACACAAATATAATTTATCAAGTTTAATTAAAACTTGACTAAATTTAAGTGCAATAAAAGAGTTACATGAATTACTTCAAGTGTCGTATGCACTTTTAGTTGTACAAACATTAAGTTTAGTGATACATAACCAAAACAAAATATTAGAGAATTACAGAAATAGCTAATCAAGGCAAAACATTGAAGAATTATAAAAATAACTTCATCTAGCATTACCTCTGAATGATGCCCACATTTGATTCGTCAGATGAGTTCTAAAGGCTCTCATTTGTACTGCACCATCATCAGATAAATTAAGTGTATTCAGTACACTAACATTACTACTGCTACTATTCCCCTAATCAATGACATTAACATATTCGTCCCCATACTCCATAAAAAAAACGATCATCTAATATATTTTGACGAATGAAATTTTGAATCGTGCAACAAGCAGTTATAATGAGTCGTTATCTAACCAACTTATAACCAGACATAAGCTTTAACATAGGAAAACGAGCATTTAGCACTCCAAAACAACGTTTAATGACATTGTGAAGTGATGAATAACAATAGTTAAACAATTCATTTGCACCACACGTTTGCCGATTGTTATCCCTATAATCTTGTAGATGATATTTTTGACCACGATATGGAGGTAGAAATCATTTTGTGCATGGGTAACCAGAATCAACTATATAGTATTTCCCTACAAAATATTATTTAAATTTTATTAGGATTAGTAGCATGTTATTATTAATATTAAAAAAGCAAAAGTAATACCATCAGCTAGTATCGAGAATCGTGCAGCAGCTTTAGTAATTTTATCAATAAAAACTCTCAAGTCATTTGTCGTACCCTCCCAACCCACATAAACGAAAGTAAATAGCATATCAAATGAGTAGCACACATAACATTTTGTGTCACTATAGACTTTCTTCCTCTATAAGGAGTTTGTTTGTTGATAGGTGCAAAAGCACTTATATGTGTTTCATCAATTGCTCCAGTGCAATTGTTAAACCAAGGATAGTATTTGGGATGAAGTATATGAGAATGCACATCACTGCTTTGTGGTAGACGTATAGGGAATTTCCCAAGGTGGCGTATTGTTCTCAATACGAGCTTAAAATGTATAAGAACTGTTTCGCCATAGTGTTGAAATCATTCAGCTACCATTACATGATGAATATTATGTCCTATAATGAACAAAAACATTGCCACTGACTCCTCGATTGAAATTGTATGTGTGTCTTCCAACAATTCACGTTCTCTCAATATTCGATATAATTTCATAAAGACTTCTCTATCCATTCATAATAAATCAAAACATCGACCGGCATGGTCATTCAACAATTCCTGAACATACTCGTGACCTGTTAACCCTAAAATTCTCTTTGGTACATTTGATTTAAAGGAATCTTCATACTCACGCATCAAATTCAAACACATACAATTTACAAGTTCATCAAAATCTTCATCTAAATAACTAAATGATGAAGACGATGTGTCACTCCAGTTTGTGTTTTCCATCTTGATTTTCCAAAAACCTAGACAAATTTTCAATAACCATTATAAATTAAACATAGTAAAAGGTGTACCAAAACAAAGTTTTCATAACATAAAACATAATAAATTGTCTCCCACATGAATATAACATAAAGTCACACGCATAGAAAAAAAAAAAAACAAAAAAATGCATAAGGAAATTATTCAATAACACATAAAACCAAACAAGTGTTTCAAGTCACATGCATCCATAAACTAAACCCTACATTCAGTAACCTCCCAAGTTTATCCAAGCTCTTCAACCAAGTAAACTTCCTGGAAATACTTATCTTAATGAACAATTCTCTATAGTGTAATTCCTTTAACTCTTCAGTTGCCTTCAAATATGTGTTATCATCTATCTCATCAAGGCCCTCAAGACATTCAATACAATTACTTAGATAGTATGGATCACGTGATGGGCTAGTTGCCTCTTAAGTATCTTTCATTTTCTTATACCTCTCCGCCTTAATTAGTTGTTAAAGCTTCAGTAATTGCTTTAGAAGCCTCAGGAATTCAAGCAAGAGTATCACTAATGGAATCTTTTTTAGTCTCCTTTTTTTGCACGACGATCAGAGGATGTGGATTTACGACGACAAGGATTATTCTCTTCAAGTAGAATATTATCTGAATCATTTTGACCCTCAGCAGTTGAACTAACATGGACACTTGTAATCATAAATTGATCCTCCTGCTCTCGTTCTTCATCTGTATTAGGTGGATCTTGAGTGGATGCATAGTGAAGTTACCCAGTAGTAGTCAACATATTAAAAAGAACTCCCAAAAGTTTGTAATTTTCACAACCTTTTTCGCGAAAACACTTAGCATTGGATTGCCCATTTGAACCTAACATTTTTTTTTTTTTTTTTTCTTAATAGCTTCTTCCTAACATTTTTTTTATTAATTGCCCATTTGAACCGATTAAATCCACAACGACCAGCGGAATCTTTCTCATGAACTTCGCATGGCTCGATCTTGAGTTTCAGGCTCCAACTTTAGTGTAACCAATTTTCTTCTTCTTTCTGTTTGTCATCATTAGTTGATGCAATTATCTAATTTTTTATTTTGTTCATAGAAGATTGTTAATTTTCTTTTTCTTCCTCTTTTCGTTTTTGTTCTTTCTCACTTCCTATAAAAACTGAAATAGTTGACTTCAAACTCCGTCATTTATTTGAATTTTCCGACCTTGCAACACTAATAAATATGAATTTGTAATAAATATGTAAAGTATAAGTAGAGCTCAGTAGGACTAGCTCACTGGACCTAAGGCATTCTACGAAATGCTACGATTACATTTTTTTTTTTAATTAATAACTTATAATTTTAGAGTAGAGAATGGTTAACCACATTAAAGATAATACTTGAAATACCGCATTTATCTGTTGATACTCACGTTTATGTATAACATTGGTCCAATTTAAATTACAAGTCCTACTAAAACAAATAAATCAAGAAGCAAACAAACCCCAAAAAAAAATGGGCAATCCATGAATAATTGAATATCAATCAGACATAAGAATAATATATACAAGGTCTGATAAAGCTCTTGATTTTTTTATTTTTTATTTTTTGGAATTTTGTGATGCAAAGAATGTTCATCTAATTTTTTTTCTTCTCATATCATATTGGCTTGTTATTCAGTACTTTATGGATGTGAAATATATTTGAGTTGCGTGAAAATCTACTTTATTGCTTGTAATCCTTTGCCTAATGTACAAATAAAGGATGGCATCTCAAATTGCTGATGTTGAGGAGTCAACTCTATGGTCTACACATTTAGAGAGATGTTTTGTTGATATAATGAATGACGAGGTTAACAAGGGGAACATGCCAGGGATATTTACTTTTGAGTGTGGGAAAAAGATTGGAGAGGAGTTCCAAAAAAAGACTAACCACGCTTGTAATGTGAAGCAACTAAAGCAAAAATTTAATTGATTACGTACAAAGCATCATAGTTTTCAAATCTTTTAAATGAGGCAAGAGGTTTGGTTGGGATGCGGAAACAAACACTGTGACTATTGATGAAGAAACTTGACAAACATATTTGCGGGTAAAACATGTATTTAATTAATTATTTAACAATAGTTAGTTTAATTTTTAAACATGGTTTTTCCGAACAATTTCTTTTTTTTTTTTAGAGGTGCATCCCAATGCTAAGTGTTTTTGCAAAAAAAGTTGTAAAAATTACAAACTTTTGGGAGTTCTTTTTAATACGTCGGCTGCTACTCGGCAACTTCACTATACATCCACTCAAGATCAACGTAATATAGACGAAGAACGAGAGCATGAGGATCAATTTATGAATACAGGTGTCCATGTTAGTTCAACTGCTGAGGGTCAAGATGATTCAGATAATATTCTATTTGAAGAGAATAATCCTCGTCATTGTAAATCCATATCCTCTGATCGTCGTGCAAAAAATGAGACTAAAAAAAATTCTATTAGGGATGCTCTTGCTTGCATTGCTGAGGCTTCTAAAGCAAGGACTGAAGTTTCATTAGCTACAGCTAAGATGTATAAGAAAATGAAAGATACTAGATAGGCAACTAGCCCGTCACGTGATCCATACTCTCTAAGTAATTGTACTGAATGCCTTGAGGGTCTTGATGAGATAGATGATAACACATATTTGAAGGCAATTGAAAGGTTCAAGGAATTGCACTATAGAGAATTGTTCATTACGATGAGTATTTCCAAGAAGTTTGCTTGGTTGAAGAGCTTGGACTGACTTGGGTGGTTACTGAATGCAGGGTTTAGTTTTTAGATGAATGTGACTTGAAAT